GCTCACGCCTGTAATCCCAGCACTTTGGGAGACCGAGACAGGCGGATCACCTGAGGTCGGGAGTTTAAGACCAGCCTGACCAACAAGAAGAAACCTTGTCTCTACTGAAAATACAAAAATTAGCCAGATGTGGTGGTGCATGCTTGTAATCCCAGCTACTTGGGAGGCTGAGGCAGGAGAATCGCTTGAATCTGGGAGGCGGAGGTTTCAATGAGCCAAGATCATGCCTTTGCACTCCAGCCTGGGCAACAAGAACAAAATACTGTCTTTAAAAAAAAAAAAAGAAAAACAAGGCCTGGCGTGGTGGCTGATGCCTGTAATCTCAGCACTTTGGGAGGCCAAAGCGGGTGGATCACAAGGTCCAGAGTTCAAGACCAGTCAGGCCAATATGGTGAAACCCTGTCTCTAAAAATATAAAAATTGGCTGGGCACGGTGGCTCATGCCTGTAATCCCAGCATTTTGGGATGCTGAGGTGGGCGGATCACGAGGTCAAGAGATCGAGATCATCCTGGCCAACATGGTGAAACCCTGTCTCTATGTAAAAAAAAAAAAAAAAAAAAAAAAAATATATATATATATATATATATATATATATATATATATATATACACCTGAGAGACTGAGGTGGCAGTTAGCCCAGATCATGCCATTGCACTCCAGCACTTTGGGAGGCTGAGGCAGATAGATCACTTGAGGTCAGGAGTTCAAGACCAGCCTAGCCAACATGGTGAAACCCCGTTTCTCCTAAAAATACAAAAATTAGCTGGGCATAGTAGTGCACACCTGTAATCCCAGCTACTCAGGAGGCTGAGGCAGGAGAATTGCTTGAACCTGAGAGGTGGAGGTAGCAGTGAGCCGAGATCACGCCACTGTACTCCAGCCTAGGCAACACAGTGAGACTCCATCTCAAAAAAAAAAAAAAAAAAAAAAAAGATGCATGTGATTATGTACATTGCTTTGGAATAGGAAAATATTTTCTAGCACAAAAGGCAAGATTAATAGAACAGGATACAGCCCAGGCAGGCAGATCACTTGAGGCCAGAAATTTGAAACCAGCCTGGCCAACACGGTAAAACCCCATTTTTACTAAAAATACAAAAATTAGGTGGGCATGGTGGCACACACATGTAGTCCCAGCTATTCAGGAGGCTAAGGCAAGAGAATCGCTTGAACCTGGGAGGCGAAGATTGCAGTGAGCTGAGATCTCACCACTGCACTACAGCCTGGGTGACAGAGCAAAACTCTGTCTAAAAAAAAAAAAAAAAAATCGGGATACAAGGCCAGGTGTACACATCCTTTTGGTGGGCAGATTGCCTCTTTGGGGACAATTGGGTAGCTTCCTTAAACACTGTTACACATAAGGTAGGATACATACAGGAATATTCCTCTCAGCTTTACTTGCCACTCATGTTGAAGTGGTTAAACAAATCCATTTTTTTTTTTTTTTTTTTTTTTTTTTTGAGACAGAGTCTCCCTCTGTCACCCAGGCTGGAATGCAGTGATGCGATCTCGACTCACTGCAACCTCTGCCTCCCAAGTTCAGTTCAAGCTATTCTCCTGCCTCAGCCTCCTGGGTACCTGGGATTATAGGTATGCACCACCACGCCCAGCTAACTTTTGTATTTTTAGTCAAGACGTGGTTTCACTATGTTGGTCAGGTTGGTCTCGAACTCCTGACCTCGTGGTCTGCCTGCCTCGGCCTCCCAAAGTGCTGGGATTACGGGCGTGACCTACTGTGCATGGCCGACAAATCCATATTACCCATGGCAGGAAAGAACTAGGGAGAGATCCCAAGTGATCAGCATGTGTACTGCCTTGGGAAGATCTCCAAGAGTAGTTTTTACTGATTGATTGAAACAGGGTCTTTCTGTATGTCAGGCTGGAGTGCAGTGACATGATCATGACTCACTGCAGCCCTGACCTCCCAGACGCCAAAGATTCTCCCATCTTAGCCTCCCAAATAGCTGGAACTATAGGCACACACTACCATGCCTGGTTAATTTTTAAATTTTTTGTAGAGACATGGTCTTGCAATGTTGCCCATGCTGGTTTTAAACTCCCGGGCTCGTGTGATCCTCCCGCCTCAGCCCCACAAAGTGCTTGGGATTACAGTCTGCAGCCACCATGTTCAGCTGAAGACAATATTTTTCCTTTACTTGAAACGGAGTCTCACTCTGTCACCCAGGCTGGAGCATAGTGTTCGATCACAGCATTCTGCATTCTTGACATCCTGGGCTCAAGCAATCCTCCCACCTCAGCCTCCTGAGTAGCTGGCTCATGGTTCACTGCAGCCTTAACCTCCTAGGCTCAATCATTCCACTTTGGACTCCTGAGTAGCCAGGACTACAGGCACATGCTACCATGCCCAGCTAATTATTATTATTATTATTTTTGTAGAGTCAGGGTCTCACTACATTGCCCAGGCTGGTCTTGAACTCCTAGGCTCAAGGGATCCTCCTGCCTCGGCCTCCCAAAATGCTGGGATTACAAGTATGAGCCACTGCGCCCAGCTTTGTGAATGTACTTAATGCCTCTGAATTCTAAACTTAAAAATAGTTAAAATGGTAAATTTTATGTTATGTATATATTTAAATATTATTTATTATTTACTTATTTTTGAGACAGAGTATTGTTCTGTTGTCAGGCTGGAGTGCAGTGACGTGATCTCGGCTCACTGCAGCCTCTTCCTCCTGGATTCAAGCGGTTCTCCTGCCTCAGCCTCCCAAGTAGCTGAGACTACAAGCACTCGCCACCATGCCCAGCTAATTTTTTTTTTTTTTTTTTAAATAGAGACGGGATTTTGCCATATTAGCCAGGCTAGTCTCGAACTCCTGACCTCCACTGATGCACCTGCCTTGGTCTCCCAAAGTGCTGAGATTACAGGCATGAGCCATTGTGCCGGCCTTTTAATTTTATTTATTTATTTACTTTTTTCTTTTTAAGATGGGGTTTCACCATGATGGGCAGGCTGGTCTTGAACTCCTGACCTCAGGTGATCCACCCACCTTGGCCTCCCAAAGTGCTAGGATTACAGGCGTGAGCCACCGCACCCGGCCCGGTATTTAATTTTTTTTATAGAGAATTTGTGTATTTTTTTTCCTCATCCCTTTCTACCTTCCTAAGCAGAATTTTTGTATTTTTAGTAAAGACGAGGTTTTACCATGTTGGCCAGGATGGTCTCTTGACTTCGTGATCTGCCCACCTCGGCCTCCCAAGGTGCTGGGATTACAGGCCTGAGCCACCGCGCCCAGCCTAAATATTATTATTATTATTATTATTATTTTGAGACGGAGTTTCGCTCTTGTTACCCAGGCTGGAGTGCAATGGCGCGATCTCGCTCACCGCAACCTCCGCCTCCTGGGTTCAAACAATTCTCCTGCCTCAGTCTCCTGAGTAGCTGGGATTACAGGCACGTGCCACCATGCCCAGCTAATTTTTTGTATTTTTAGTAGAGATGGGGTTTCACCATGTTGACCAGGATGGTCTCGACTCATGATCCACCCGCCTCGGCCTCCCAAAGTGCTGGGATTACAGGATTGAGCCACCGCTCCCGGCCCAGCCTAAATATTATTTATTTTTATGTTTAGAGACAGATGTCTCCCTATGTTACCCAGGCTGGCCTTGAACTCCTGGTCTCGTGACCCCGCTGAGTCAGCCCTCAGAGTAGTTAGGACTACAGGTGCACACCACCGTGCCTAGCTATGTTATGTTTATTTTACCACAATGAAAGGACTTCTAAAAAAAGGTAGACACCAAAGAGAATACACAGTTGGATTGTATGTATACCAAGTACAAAACCAGGAAAAACTAACGTATGGTGACAGACGTCAGAACAGTGACTACTCTTTGGAAGTTAATGGCTAGAGGAAGACACGAAGGGGGAGGTTCTGGGGTAATTATCTATTTCTTGATCTAAGCGCTGGTTCTGCCAGGGTTCAGGGGTACAAACCACCGAACTTTTTGCTTATGTTTGCCCCGTCTGCATTATTTATCCTTTAATCAGTAGTTCTCCAAAACCCCCAAACTCCAGCCCTTTTTTTTTTTTTTTTTTTTTTTGAGAGAAGCCCTCGCTGTCGGGTGGAATGCAGTGGCTCAGATCATAGCTCACTGCAGCCTCGAACTCCTGGGCTTAAGCGATCCTCCCGCCTCTGTCTCCCAAAGCGCTAAGATTACAGGAGTAAGGCACCCCGCCTGGCCCCAGTACGTTTTTAGAAAAAAATTTAATTGCAAAAATCTGGATAAATTCTTGAAAATTGGACTTTTCCCCCTTTTTGTACCCTAAGCCTGCGCTGAATTTGTGCCTTTGAAATGCTTTCTAGCCTTCTTTCTCCAGGTCCCACACTACCTGGGGCCGCACTATTCACTGGATGCTGACTAACTCGTCTCTTTATCTGCCTTCCCGACTGGCCCAGAGCTGAGTTCTTACTAATCCCGCTAACCTGGAGTTCGGTGCGCGTTGCGAAGCAGTAACGAATTCAACCAGCCCGGGAGGCAGACAGCAAAGCCGGAAGAACAAAGCTGAAAGGGAAACGCCGGGGAATCCTTCCACAGCCGCGAGGCCACGCCCCTTTCCAAGCACCTCCCCGCTAACTCCGCCCCTCCTGGCCACGCCTCTCAACCGAGACTGCCTAAGGCCCCGCCCACAAGGCGTGGCCCAGCTCCAGGGGGGCCGCAATCCCGCCAACAATGACTCCACCCCTCCTTCCGCTGAGAAACCTGTCCCTTTTATTTAAAGAATACCTTTTACGTCAGCCCGCCTTACGTATCTTTGCGTCATCAGTGCAAGGCGCGGAGGCGGGACTTCCTGTCCCTGGTTCTAACAGCTTCCGGGAAAAGCCGGAAGCGACCGGACCCTGAACAGAATCGCGGGTTGCCAGCCCTTTCCCCGAATTCTACGGAAAGACGAGTCCAGGGGCCGTCCTGGAGAGGTCAAAACATTTAGTCTGGGCTTTTCAGGTGAGAAATTCCCCATCTAGGCACAGTGCTGGTCTAATCCACCTTTAATTTCCCATGACTCCCCGCGTCCTCAAGCCCCGCCCCCAGTTCCCCAGCCCCGCCCCGAAGTTTGAGGGGTGTGGACGGTTTGTGACCCCCTTATCCGACTCTACCCCTCACGGGCAGGGAGAGCTAGGCTTGGCACGGCGGCCGGGACCAGGCAGCCCTTCAGTTCGGGTGGGCTTATGGACCCCAGTCCAACGCCGCGGGAATAGGACCATCCAAACGCGGAACTTTCGCCTCAGAAAAAGCAGGGTGCGGGACCCCTCCTCACCGCGCGGTCTGAGTACGGTCAGGGTAGATCACAGGCCGAGGACAGAGTAAAGACCTCTGAGGCCGGACACCTGGGGTCCTGTCGGGCCCCTCCCCACGAGAGTTTCCTGTGTCTGTGCCAGTCGTTTTCATCTTTCTTCGCCGCAGTTTCCTTTTCTGTAAATCATGGTTGATGACATTAACCTTCTTACCATCAGGGGTTAGTTGTGGGTGTGATAAATAATTGCTACCATTTATTGAGCAATTGCAATTTGCAATGTGCCAGGCACTGTGCTAAGTATTTTGCTTCGATGATTTCACGTCATCTTCAAAACAACCTCATGAGGTAGGTACTATTTTTAAACCCATTTTACTGATGTGAAAGCTGAGGCTCTGAGAAAGTTGTCCGAGTTGACATAGCTAGTAGGATGCAAGACTAGGATTATAATTAGTTGTTTTTCTAACTCCAGGGCCGGTATATTAAATAAGGATGTTGATGTGTTCCACAGATATTCTTTGAGCAACTACTGGGGCATTATATTGGACACTTCAGTGTTAAGAGAAATACATCCGATCCTTGTCTACCAGGAGTCTAAGAGAGAGAAGGACAGGTAGATAAGGTTAATGAAGTTTTATAGGTGCTGTGAGAATAGTCTGATAATGGATTTGCCCAAGGACAGCTGTGAAAGCAGCAGATTCTCCAAGGGAAATAGTAGGTACTCCAAGGAGCAAACAGGGATGCTTCCTGCCTTGCTAAGAAACTGCAGCAGCAGAGGCTTCACAGTGAAAAAGGAGAGACTGAAATACGGATTGTGAGAGCCGTTAGGGAATCTTTTTCAAATCGTTTCCACTTGGGGAGTGGTTATTGCCCATGGTGACCCAGGAGTGTGGTGTTTTGGTGTCTGTCCCACGTTGCTCTCCAGGGGTTGCCAGAAGTTTCAGAGGCGGCACATCATGTCTGCTGCATAGTGTCTGCTCGGAGTCCCTACAGAGTTATCCCATTGAGGTTGTCTGATTCTGCTTTTGATGATAGGTCAGTTTTCTTTGGCTCTTGACATCTGGGCAGGCTGGATCTGTGACCAGGAATGAAATAGGCTCAAATGAGACAATCTGGCAGGGATGGCATTCTCAATCTGAAAATACTCCAGGCTTTTGGGTCTCTCTGAAGCCACTTTGGAGGCTGCTTAGGAGGCATATTTGCTTGACCAAGTGATAGAAATCCTAGAGAAACTCAAGCCTCAAAGAAGCAAAGGTTTTTCTCATAAAAAAAAACCCAAAAACCAACAGTAGTAGCAGCAGCAGCCGCAGCAGCAAAGCTGTGGGCTTTTCCTGCTGATCCATGTTCATTGGGAAGTTACAGTGTGAGAGAGGAAGATCACAGAACCTGAAAGCAAGAGTTTCACAACAGAGGCAAAGGGTAGGTCTTTAGCTCTAGGCTGGGGCGCCAGAATTGGGAAGGTTTGTCCCTGATTCTACAGAACACTGAACTCCATTTTTTTTTTCAGGGCTGGGTCAGTTAGAACCTAAACAAACTAGAGACCTGGTTGCAACCCTCAGGCTCTGCTGATGCTATCCCCCTTTGTTCCTGCAGCGTGGACCCTGTCAGCAGCCAGGCCATGGAGCTCTCTGATGTCACCCTCATTGAGGGTGTGGGTAATGAGGTGATGGTGGTGGCAGGTGTGGTGGTGCTGATTCTAGCCTTGGTCCTAGCTTGGCTCTCTACCTACGTAGCAGACAGCGGTAGCAGCCAGCTACTGGGCACTATTGTGTCAGCAGGAGACACGTCTGTCCTCCACCTGGGGCATGTGGACCACCTGGTGGCAGGCCAAGGCAACCCTGAGCCAACAGAACTCCCTCATCCATCAGAGGGTAATGATGAGAAGGCTGAAGAGGCTGGCGAAGGTGGGGGAGACTCCACAGGGGAAGCTGGAGCTGGGGGTGGTATTGAGCCCAGCCTTGAGCATCTCCTTGACATCCAAGGCCTGCCCAAAAGACAAGCAGGTGCAGACAGCAGCAGTCCAGAGGCCCCCCTGAGATCTGAGGATAGCACCTGCCTCCCTCCCAGCCCCGGCCTCATCACTGTGCGGCTCAAATTCCTCAATGATACCGAGGAGCTGGCTGTGGCTAGGCCAGAGGATACCGTGGGTGCCCTGAAGAGGTGAGTGGCCTGGGAAGTGGGAGGCTGCTTGTGCCCATCCCCCAGCCCTTGGTTCCCTCTAAGGAGGCTGGTGCAGACATGGGAGCAGCAGGAAAGTGTAAGATCAAGCCCCTCCTAAGGGCAGGCAGATAATTTCTTAGAAATACATCCTTCAGGCAGGTGATTACAGGCTCATGCCTGTAATCCCAGCATTTTGGGAGGCCGAGGCGGGCGGATCACCTGAGGTTGGGAGTTTGAGACCAGCCCGATCAACATGGAGAAACCCCATCTCTATTAAAAATACAAAATTAGCCAGGTGCAGTGGCATGTGTCTGTAATCCCAGCTACTTGGGAGGCTGAGGCAGGAGAATCGCTTGAACCTGGGAGGCAGAGGTTGTGTGAGCTGAGATCGTGTCATTGCACTCCAGTCTGGGTGACAAAAGTGAAACTCCGTCTCCAAAAAAAAAGAAAAAAAAAAAAAAAAGAAATACACCCTTCATTAGTTAAGGATAAAGATGAGGGGGAAAAAAATCCACCCTCCAATTTTCCCCACTCCCCTGCTTTGTTGCTCCAGGCCTGTTTGCTTTTTCATTCCTCACTCTGTCTTTCCTTCCATGTCTTTCATCCGTACAGCAAATACTTCCCTGGACAAGAAAGCCAGATGAAACTGATCTACCAGGGCCGCCTGCTGCAGGACCCAGCCCGCACACTGCGTTCTCTGAACATTACCGACAACTGTGTGATTCACTGCCACCGCTCACCCCCAGGGTCAGCTGTTCCAGGCCCCTCAGCCTCCTTGGCCTCCTCGGCCACTGAGCCACCCAGCCTCGGTGTCAATGTGGGCAGCCTCATGGTGCCTGTGTTTGTGGTGCTGTTGGGTGTGGTCTGGTACTTCCGAATCAATTACCGCCAGTTCTTCACGGCGCCTGCCACTGTCTCCCTGGTGGGAGTCACGGTCTTCTTCAGCTTCCTAGTATTTGGGATGTATGGACGATAAGGACATAGGGAGAAAATGAAAGGCATGGTCTTCCTCCTTTATGGCCTCCCCGCTTTTTCTGGCCAGAGTTGGGCCCGAAGGCCTGGGAGGGAGGGGTAGAAAGGATGTGATAGAAATCCCCTCCATAGGACACAGGAGGCAGGTACAGGGCCTCCCCTTCTTGTCCACGGGAGTACAGATGTCCCCTCTGTGCAAGCACAACTCAGGTAGAAATGAGAATGTCACCTTTCTTCACTTTTAGGGTCCTCCTGAAGAAGTTCAGAGCTGATGGCCAAGCTCAGTGGGGAGCCTGGGCTCTGAGGATTCCCTCCCACCTGTGGTCCTAGCTCTTCCCAATGTCCTGCATGTCTGCCCCCCAGCACCCAGGCTGCCTGCCAGGGCAGCTCAGCATGGCCCCAGCATACCACTGTAGGGAGCCTGGAGTCTTCCTTCCATTTCTCAGCCAAGTATCAGTCTTTTGAGACTGAAGTCACACAGGCGGGAACGCAGATCCTGCACGCCTTCTCTATGGGCACCTGGCCGCCTTCACCTTCTCCCTCTACCCCTTAGCAGGAATAGGGTATTCTCCACGTTCTAGATAGTTTTCAGTGACCTCCCTTCTTTCAAAGCACTTTGCTTGCATTTTTTTTTTTTTTTTTTAAAGAGTCCTTCATAGAGCTCAGTCAGGAAGGGGATGGGGCACCGAGCCAAGCCCCTAGTACTGGGAGCGGCCAGGCCACAGCTGCTGCTCCCATAGGCCTCAGGCTGCAAGCAGGAGACAGCATTGGCCCTTGGCCAGCGTCCTACTCTGCCCAACTCCAAGGATGAGCTCTGGGTATGGATCGCTGGCCCTTAGGCTCTTGCTTCTGGGGCTGTTGGATGGAGGGTCAGTGTCTGACTGAATAAAGTTCCATTTTGTGATGGTGGAGCCTCTTTCAGTAGGAGAATGGCTTTGCGCTGCCCCCCAGCAACATAGTTATGAGGGTGGGTAGGCCAGGCTACCAACGGGAGATGCAGTTTATTTACACCAGCAGCCATGGGGGCAGAGGGAATACACAGCGTTTACAAAGTTAGCTACCTGTACAGAATGGATTACATATGCAAAAATAAAAATCTCAAGACCACAGGACAGCGTGAGCCCCACCCCCCTCCCCCAATGACCCCAGCATGCGGTAATGCCAGGCGGGTGGCCCCTGGGCATGCGGGGGGGAGTGATGCATGGAAGGAAAAGCCACCGGCCATGGAAATTAGTACAGAACCCCCCCACACACACTCAAGACACATGATAGGATACAGACACCTAGCCGGGGTGAGAAGGATGGGAACTGAAACCCACACAGCCTGCTGTTAAGAGGGAGGGGAGTGGGGAGCTCCTAGCCCCTGTTCAACTACATGGTAGGGGGGCACTCTCTCCCCAGAAGGAAAAGGGTTTGTTCCCTCAGGGTCCCTGCTGGACCAAGCCCATCTCTTACCCAGCCTGGGCAGGGGGCTCTGCCCTGAGGGCGGGCCAAGGAACAATGGGGAAGTTTATATGGACAAACCAGTTCCCAAACTACTTCCCACTTCTCCCTCCTCCCAACCAGAAGGGGGAAAAAGGGAGAGGCCACAGAGCAAAAAAGTGTATTAGGGCCTGAGCTGCAGCTGCCTCTCAGAAGGGAGAGTGGCCCACAGCCTTCCTCCCTTCACCTTCAGCCCACTCCCTAGACTGCATCTGGAAGCGGCTAGAGGCCTGCTGAGATCCTCCCCTCCCTCCAGCCTCCCCTCGGAGGGAGACGGAGAAGGCTACGGAGGGCCAAGAACAGAGGAGCCCTGGCCCCGGGATTTATTCTAACTCCTGCCAAATTCCGTTTGGCTTTTTAAAAAATAATCACAATTTGTGGGTTAAAAACCAATTTGCAACCAGGCATCAGCCACAATCAGAACCACCCCAGGGGGAGAGCGGGGTTCCAGACAGGGTACTGCAGCCCCATCTCTGTTGTTCCCTTAACCCTCTAGGGGTCCTAACCCGATCAGTCCAACCAGTCCTGGGTACCAGCTACCCAAATGTGGGATCACCCCTCTTGGGAAGAGGGCAGGGGACATGTCCAGCAAGTGCCAGAGAACGTGGCTCAAGGTCACCTCCACCCGTGTCAGTCCGCTCTGCTCCCAGCCCAGGTCTCGGTCCTCCAGCTCGGCTCCTGGGAGTGGTGCTGCCCGCGTGGAGGGGGGACGGTACATCTCTTCTGGATGTAGACCAGGCAGGTGGGCACACTGGCATGACAGTCCCACAGAGAGGCAATGACACCCCTTCCCCTCCACTGACGACCCAGAGCACAGAGGCCACCCTCTCTTCCCACCTGACTCCTAGCAAACGGGGAGAGGCACGAGATTAGGATTTTCCTCAGAGCCCCAAACCACAAGTACAGAATAAATAACTTAAAAGCGCTAAGGAAGGGGAAAAGGGCAGGCTTTGGAGGCAGGAGCGCTGAGAGGAACTGAAGCCGGTCAAGGTGAAGGGGGTGGAAGCAGCAGTTGGGAACCTGGGCTGCCCCAGTAGGGCAATTGGAGCAGGGTGGGCAGGAGGAACACGGGGCCACCCCAGGAGGGTGAGGCTGGGTCCCTTCCTGGGGCAGGGAATGAGGTAAGAAAACATTTCAAATAAAGCAGCACCGTTCCCTCTCACCTTGGGGCCCCACTCCTCACCAGCCCTGGGTCAGGGAGGAGAGGCAGGGGGAGGAATTCTGACATATCTCCCTCTCCCTACCCTCCCTTTCCCATTCCTTGAAGCTGTAGAGGCTGGAGGCCCTTTCCTGGCACCCAACAACAAAAGGACAGCTCCTGCTGCCAAGGAGGCCCATGGGGACTGAGGGGAAAGGGCTGCCCCTGTGAGGGGCAGGGAAGGTGGCGGCAGTTCTGGACGCCCACCTCAGCAGACAGCACTCTGTGCCTGCCTACCCCTGGGGGCATTTGATAGGATTCTGCACACAGACAGCACATGCCCAGCCGTACCCCTCAGCTCCAAGCACCGGACCCATTCACATTGCTGAGGGCGGCTGGGGCAGGCCCCCTCCAGGCTCAGCTTCCAACCCACAGCCTCCCGGGTCACCACACTGCCCCTCAGCAGGGCTTAGTCCAGTTCCTGGGGTGGGGGGCAGGCAGTGCCCTGGCACAGTGCCCAGGTCAGGCCCCTGGCCTAGCTGGACATCCAGTAACTCACAGAATAAATAGGAAAACTGCCTCCCCACCAAACTTATGTCCAAGGCATAATATGTCCAGGTCTGAGTCCTGCACGCCGAGGAGTCGTGTTCCACTGCAGAGGACCATGACACCCCCCAGGGGTGCATAATTGGAACCTCTGCCTGCCTGGCCCACCAAGCTTCCCAAGCCCCAACCCCCAACAGCCGTCCATTTGCCAGGCTATGCCACCTGGGTGGGGGTCAGGAGAGAGGGCTCTGCTCAGCCGAAGGCTATCCCTTGCACCCAAGTCAGTTGATGTCATCATAGATGCTGGGCGTCGGGGGTGCCGGTGGCTTTGGCTTCTTCTTTTTGTTGGAGCCCAGGCTGGAGGCAGTCCCTACCAGGCTCAGATGGGATTTCTTTTTCTTGGTTTTCCGTGACTCGGAGCTGTTGGTACCTGTAGAGAAAGAGACACAAGGAATGAGGGTAGGGTTGTGGCAGGAGAGGAGGCGCCCCCATGGCTTCGGCCAGAGAGCCCCTGGGGCCCAACTGGGTCACGTACCTAGACCCCATCCCTGATTTTCACTCGTCTTGGAGGAGCCCGAATCTGAGGGTGAGAGGTCAGAGGAGCCGTCCCACTGAAGCCGGCTGATCAGGGCCTGGCTGTCAGTCATGTCAAAGCTGTCATTATCCAGGGAGCTCTCGACCTCCGGAAGGACGCTGGTAAGGGGATGAGCCAAAGAAAGCCTTCAGAGATAGCCATCATCACCCTAACTGGTCACAACCCACTACCCTGCCTGTAGGGCCACTTACGCCGAGGGCCCGAGGAAGTAAATCCGCACGGTTCGCCTCTGCTCATCTGTGTGCTGTGGGCAGCGCAGGGACCTGGTGGAGAGGCAAGGCAGGGAGGGGTATGAGGCACTCCAGTAAAGCCCCTCCCCTCGGCAAGGCGGGAGCCACAGGCACAGACAGGGAAGGGATGAACACAGATTCGTCCCCAGATGGTGGCCGAACGCCTGACCATTATAAGAGGGAAGGGGAAGGGCGGGAGCCCCATTGCTCAAGTCCAGGGGTACTCCCGACCCATGCCCATGGTGAGTGCGCAGGAGGCCCCCGGCCCCCTTTCTAGGTTCCGTGCTCACCTTGTGCACATCTTCTTGGTGTGTTCGGAAATCACCCCACATTGCTGGAAGAGGAATATAAGCTGAAAAGGAGGGATGGAGGGGGCCTACTCTAGACGCTAGGTGTTCTCTTTTGTATGAATGCTAGATAGCATTAACAGAGCTGGCCCCGAGGTGTCCAGAGCAGACAGTCCCAGGCCGCTATGGGCCAGGAAACCTAATTCCAGAGACAGAATGACATGGCCCTGGACTGCTATGTCACCAGCTTCCTCCAGGGCCTTGACCACCGCCTACGGCTCCAGCCCACTCCCAAGGGCCTCCTCTCTTCGCAGGTCCCCCCTCACCGTAGTCAGCAGGCTTCGAAGCTCCTCTGGCCCCAGGGTCTCATAGCTGATCCCAGTGGAATTGTTATACTGCAGGAGAACCAGAGGTACAGGTTAGAGACTAGGCAGAGAAAAGAGAGGTGCAGGAGTGGGAGTGAGAATCAGTCCCTCTGATCCCTTTCTAAGTGAGAGGCTTTAGGACAACCCTGCTATTTTCCAAGTGATTTCTCATCCCACTTGCCAATGGATAAGGGGGTGGGACTCAGAAAAAAACATAAATAAACAAGACCCCAATAACTCAACAGCCTCTGGCTGTGAGCATTCTCATCACTACTTGTCCAAATCCCCACCGCCTCGCAACCAGGACAGTGAGAGAGAGCGTGTGAGGGGTGACCCATACGTACCTTAAAAGGATCCGAATTGCTAAGTTCCCCTGAAGAAGAAAAAAGAAGGGGAAGGGTGTTTGATGCAGAGGTACAGACAGAGAACCCTGAAAATAACCAGAGAGGAAGTGGGGGTGACAGAAGGATCACAGGCCCTCCCTCAATACCCCAACCCCCAGGCCCCACCTCCACCCCCGGCAGTGAGTCCCAGAAGATGCAGCTAGAAGCATTCCCATTGCTCCAGCCCCACTTACCATTTTTGTGTTTTAAAGACTTGGATCTTCGAGGGGAATTGGGGTTCTGGAATGGGAGATACCATAGCTTTGGGGAAAGGGTAACGATAAGGGGGAGCCGAGAACCCAGGGAAGGAAAAAAGATTTGACAAAGCAGCATCCTCAAATTCCTACTCTTCCTCCCCAGTAGGCCTGTCTACCGATATTCCCTCCCCAGCTCCCATTCCCCGCCCACCAGAGACCTCCTCCACCCCCCAATGACCTCAGCCTTGAGTCAGGACACTCGAGGACTCCCTGCCCAAAGGGGAGGGTATCTGTCCTTTGCCCATATTTCCCCAGTGCCTGCCCCAGCTCTCACCTTGTCTGATTTTCTCTTCTTGGCTGGGGAACAAAAGGATAAAGAGCAGGGTTTCCGTTAAATTCTCAATCCAAGGGCATCTCAAGAAGACCACACAGCTACACTCTTCCTTCATCATTCAAGGCAACCACCTGGGACCACTATATACCCAATTCCTGCTTCCCACCTCATCCCAATGCCCCCCAAGTTTCCCCAGGCCCCCAGGCACCTTTCTTCTCCGAGCCATAGGACCAGTCGTTGTCATTGATGTCATCATTATCCTCTTGGTCACTCTCAGACTTGTTCATATTGTTGCTATTGGCAATGCTGCCAACAGGAGCGAAGAGAAAGGGTCAAGGCAGTCACCC